TCCCTCAGGTGTCCATAAATAATAAAGGTCTTGTATATTCTGTCATCCTGCTGCTGGCATCAGTGTTTCTGACTGTAAGTAAATAAAAACCGCGAGATGTTTTAGGTCTCTGTGTAGTTTTCAGCAACACGGAGACTTAAGAAATGGAAAAGCCATTTATTATTTTCCTTCCACTACACAAAAACACACCAGTTGTGTTGGTCAGTCCCAGTAAAATGGTGAAGTTTGTGGCCTGTTGTTTATCTTTTCGGCTGCCACAGCACATGAACCCCACAGCTGCGTGCACACAGACTTGGCAGGTGGTTGGAATATGACAAAATGAGAAAACTTCAGGGAGTGTGAATACCCTGAATAGGACACTGTAAATTAATGAATATGCTGACTGGAATATTGATAACTACACTATTTTATGTTGTAGTTGTGTCCTTACTATAACAGTATATTATTGTTAATGTTTGATTTAATATATTTATATAATTTTATCTTATTTGTGTGCCTCAATGTCCTGAAACTTTGCTCTTGTTCCACTTAAACTTCCCATATGTGACAACATTTCTATTTTATTCCAAGACTTGGTCTGGGCCTCAAAGATCCAACTACAAATATCGACCCACAAAATGGGTGTAGGCGCCTAAGAGCTTTGTGACAGGTTTTTGTGTGTTAGTACGTTTGAAATTTAGATTTATGAAAGGTATTTTCTGATACTTGTTTATGTTTGATCCTCAACGTGTTGTTATACAAGTGTCTGTCAATAAGTCGTATTTGAAGATAATGCAGCAGAGTTTGCAGTAAACATAACCAAAGGAAGAAGTAACTGTTTTCCCGTTTCCCCTCAGGTGATGTGTGTACATCTAAACCATTGGAGGCTGGACCGCCGGCTGGGTCTGGGTCTGTTGTTTCTCTATGCGGTCTTCCTTCTCTGCTCCATCCTTTTTGGACAGATGTAAGACCTGACGGTCGTGTTTCCCCGTTCTTTAGACTCGTCTAATAGATTCCCTCCTTCCCACACATACAGTTTATCTGAAGCCAAAAAAAAAAAAAAAAAAAACAAGAGTGAAAGTGGCGTGGTTTTCCTTGTGACAATTTCTGTGCACCTATGTAGGAATCACTATGGTAATGTACAACTACACAAATACACAGGTTTGTTTTGACTTTTTTGGTCGTTTTGTACAGTGCAGTGTTTGATTACCGTCGTTAAGACATTCAGATTTTGTCTTTAGTTTTTTTTTGGGAAAGCAATTACAGAAAAGGCAGATGAAGCAGCAATATTGTTAGATATTTATCAACTTTAATAAAAAAGTGATACTGAAAGTTGTGATTTTAAAACCTGTTTTTGCAAAGAGGAACATTTTGAATCTATTTATTAGCAATAATTAATCTGAATTGTCATGGTTTTTGTTTTTTGGGTGGGGCATTTATCTGGCGACATCCTTTTTTCAGATTATTTTTAAGTGGAGGTCTTATCAGAATCCCACTTCTGTAAAGTATTTAATATTTCTGTTAAATCTTCATGTTAGCTTGCTGACTGTCTTGTAATAAGCTAATCTCAACAGCTTTCTGCTTGATATATATATATATATATATATATACACACACGCATTGTGTGTGTATATATATATATGCCAACAACACTGTCTCAATCTTAAAGCTTTCAGTTCACAGCAAATTTTCATAACTATTTATTTATATTCTTGTTTTTGTACCAACTGCAGCTAAGCTAATTAATTTAAGCTAACAAGCTAGGTCACCATCGTTACCACAGGCTAGGCTAGGGTAGTCCAATGCTAACTGGTGCTAATCTCAGTGTTTCCGCTGCAGCTTCTGCCTAAATTTATCTAGCACTTAATTCACTACTGCACCTGACTGAAGGGGACTGAATGAGACCTGAGACAAAAAGAAATGATCACTGCTGTGTCGTGTTGGGACGACTTTTTAACTCGTATGTTCTGAATGTACACCCTCTGATTTTAGCAATAGTTATCTGATGATATCAGACTAGTTGATGTTAAAATGCACAATGTTGTGATGATGTTTTGATGATTTTGCCTCACTACTTCAAGCCAGTCAGTTCTGGTACTCCTTAAGGTACGTAAAGAGTACGACCGTATTTTTAGAAGTCTTATTACTATGAAACCTAATCAGTATTGCAAATTTTGGATTTTAGTGCAGAAAAGTAGCATTCTTCCTGTTTAGGTATGACAATCGATGTAATGTTTCTTAAATGTGTTTTTGTAAAAAAAATATTTGAATTTAATGAAATTGTTAGACAATCCAGAGAAACTAGAGTATAAAACCATGTACATTTACAAGATGAGTCTGTGTTTTCTGATAAATCAGTCATAGTAAACCAATTCTACTGTTATATAGGAAAAAAAAAAGCTTAACAATATAGATTTGTATTTTACAGTGGAACTTGAAGTATTTTTGATTGTTAGATCTGTAAATTCTCAAAGTTTCTTTAAAGGGAAACATTTTATTTTTTTTTCCCCAGGTGGTTGTAAAATGATCATTGTCTACTTTGTAATGTTTATAAATGTTGAATAACTTGCATAGTTTTACAATAATGAATGTCCTACAAAGACTTGTTCTGTGGTACTTTGATATTTTTTAAAAAGAGAGATGTAATCCTGTTGGTGTATTTTATTTAACCTGCTTATTTGTGACGAATCAGTGGGTCAACACATTATCCAGTCATTTCTTTCTTAATTTCTATTTAAAATCCACAGATTTTTTTCCTCCCATTTCACTCCTAGGTTTAACTTCCTAATCCAGCATTTGATTGATGATGTTTTTTACACCTTACCTGAGGCAGAAGTTGCCCCGTCCTCATGACCTCCATCCTCGTTTTGCCAGCAGATGACTCCGCCTCGGACGCTGACGTCCATTTTCACTCAGCTGTCAGGAGTCTCTGCCATCCGCCTCTGAGCCACATTTGGTAATAATTACAATCCAAACAGCTGAGCTCCGGTCTCCAAAGAATGTTTCTGTTCATTCTGCTGTGATGTCTGAGGTGGAACGTATCTTAAGATCTTAAGAGTCAAATTAACAGCGTTAGATATTTTTATTGGATCATAGAAAGACTGTTGTTTCTTGAGTGCAATAAAAAAAGTGCAATAATAACTGATTTTCTGTCAGAAATGATTCTGAATGACAAATTAAATCATGTTTCTAGATTTTTTTCGTTGCTCAGAGGGATAATATCTAATATGTTTGAATAGTAGCTGTATTTTTAAATTTGATTAGTAATGCCAATAGTGCTGCTAACTTTTATTAGTGACCCTATATAGGTGTCATGTCTAGACATGTGCATGTAAAAAATAAAAATATATATTTGTAGAGAAGAATTAACTTACCAAATTATTTTAAATTGTATTAGCAGGTCCAAACGCTGGAAATCAGCCACAAATACCCGATTGGTGCATCTCTAGTAGCATTTGTTTTGTAAAGCCACTAAAACAACAGTTTCAGTTTTGAATAATTTAACGATTACAGGAAAATAAAAGACACCAGATTATAGAGCTCAGTATTTATTTAATTTTTTTTACAATAAAACATTCCATCACAATTCAAATAAAAGTCCACCCAAGGAAAATTCCCCTAATCTGTAAACCTATGATTCTGATTTAAATATTATGTAACAAACAATTCTCTCCCAATGCAAAAACAGAAGCATAATCTAATAATAATAATAATAATAATAATCACATAGCGGTTGTAATGTGAAATAAAATAAGGTGAGAAATGTCCCCGTTAATGCGAGTTTCCTCGTCTCTCATTGTAATCACAAGAAGTTTTGCTTTGAGCTTTGGAAGAAAGGCTTCAGCTGAGCCCCGGATCACAGGATTAACTAAAAAAGCAACTGAATCCTAAACATCACCGATGATGGACACAAAAAGAGCAGATAAACAGTTTACTAACCACTCTTTATAGATAAAGCAGTAAGTTATAGGAAAGTAAACCAAGTCATACTGGTGTAATGCTTTAGTTATTGTTAGTTGGCTATTGAAAGGACATGATAGCATGGTTAAATTATTTTACACCGCTTCTCCAGACACGTGTACCGACTTAGCTCTGAGACGACTATATGAAGTGAACATGCAGCTGAATAATAACGCAGAACCTGCAGCTGTAATCACCGTTACTTTGACTCTTCCGACTTATCTACATCATGGTTCGATTCTTTAAATACTGATTCTGTTTGAGGTAAAGGAACTGCTTCTGCTTCTCAGCCACATTTAGAAAAACTAAGACAAGAACAGCAGCCTCTCAGGGACTAAACATACACACAACTCCTCTACAATATAGAACCACTTGCATATCTGGGGCCAAACAGTTTGTGTGATAACATCTTCTGCTAGGAAAAAGTTACAGTATCGCACATTATCCGTCAAGCTGGCTGCTACCATAGACATGAATACGTATTCATGTCTATGGCTGCTACAAGTCCCTGTCCTCCCAGCGTCCAAACAACCTCAATGTCAACATCCGGCACCAGATGTGGCAAATGATGAGCAAACTGCTAGAACACAGCGATATTCCCTTTATTAGGCAGCTGACGACAACAGGGTTAAGTTTTTGTCATGATTATGACTGCAGCATGGCATTCTGGGTATGTTTGGTGCAGTCCTCAGGTGCAGTCCCGTAGTTAAGGACAGACAAGACAGTGGCTCCCGAACATTTACAACCTAGGCTGCGTTTACACTGCAGCTTGAAGTGACCCAATTCCGATTTTTTGCCGTGGCCGTTCACACTTCCAAATATGTGCTACCTGGATGTGTTCTCCAGTGTGAAAGGCGAACGACCTGAAAGGGTCCCGCATGCGCAGTAGAGGGCGCAATAGCCCTCTACTGCGGTTGGCAGTGTCCTGCCAACCGCCATAAAGAAGAAGTGCTCAGTGTTTGCGGAAGTAAACATGGAGGCTAACGGTGGAGCTTAGCTTACACATTTGAAGTTGTGCGACCGGAGCAGCACTTTAACAACTTAATCCTCCGTTTTTCTTCACATTTGCGAGCATCAGGACGCAGAATGGTGACATTTGTCCAGTATCAGCGACGTTCAGGTCGGAGGAATGCGACATTAGATCACATTTGAATCGGATATGTATTGGCCTCGGTCGCATTCAAAAGGAATCCGATCATGAAAAGATTAGATACAGATCGCATTACGTCAAAAAAATAAAAATAAATAAAAAAAATCGGAATTGGGTCACTAGTTACAATAGTAGGTCTTTGTGACATTAAAAAATGAGACCATGAGCATTTTCCCCTCTAAATGTGACGGGAGCTCAACTGAATTTAGAAAAAAATAAGAAATAAAAGCTTCAATAACCTGGTTACAAGAGTTTGCACACCCTCCAACTAAAAACCATTTGATCTAAAACCTGCCTTCAGACTTCTTCAGTGGGAGTAAAGACATCTTGACTAGCCAAACATTCTCCATATATATGCGATTGAGAGGAAGCCATTAATCAGACATCAGAAGGTCTGTAGTCAAAACGGAACGGGTGTTTATGAGATCGTAATTTTCTAAAAATCCTCAGTGCTTTTGGTCCAAACCTTCCTTTTAGACACATGACTCGTGAGTTTACATGCTGCTTCATCAGACCAGAACATTCTCCCACATGGAGGTAGGTCATTTTCTTTTAAAAAAAAAGATTTGTGGTCGTTTACGACAAAATTCTGACTTAGCCGATGTACACACAAGATTTGATGTTAAAACTAGAGCAAAAGGTCAAAGGGTGTGCATTCATGCAGGCAAGTTATTGCTACTATTTTTACTCTTTAACCTTTCGAAACAGATTTTTTTAAAATAGTACAAAATATGTCACAAAAGGTGGAAAAAGTTTTGAAATAAGTCACTACATCACGAAAATATGACAATGTGAAGCATGCGTGTCAGTGCGTCACCATGACAACGAGTGCAGCTCGATAAGCCAACGCCACGCCAAGATTGACCCGAGAGATAAAAGTCCAACCTGCCATCTTTGAAGCGGCGCAGCCTGTGGAGCCACGCTGATAAACATCAGAGGGATTCTATTTATACTTCCTGTTTCCTGTTTGTTTTTGCTGTGAAGACGTTGAACCCTTTACAGGCGAAGTAAATCCCTTTCACCGCATCAAGTGGATCAAAACGTTCAGCAGTGCCACAAAAATCATGTGGTTGTGGCCTTTCTCCTAATATGATAGCTAATATTAAACGCAATCATTCCTTTTTTTCCCCCAAAGCTTTACATACGTAATAATCTTTACCATAGAAATATATAAATATTATAAAATGTATTCGTCTTTCACTATGATCAAGCTTTTTAAACTCCATAAAATCAGTACATTACAGGACAGAGACGAAGCTTTAGCAACTTTAGGTATAAAAGCTGAACGCAAAGTGGAAGTTTGGCCATTTATGACGCGTCTCTGAAACAAATGATGCCAAACTGGCTAAATCTGGCGAGTGGATGAAAATAAAAACCCATTAGACTGGATCTAAGGCCGGAACTGTGTAACAGTCATAATCTGGTGCTAACTGAGGCCAGTCTGATCAGGTGTTCCTCCCGTGTCCAGAACACACTCCACCCCCGACGCCGACACCCAGTGAAGGGGAGGGAGGAGGTCATTGTGTACCTTGAGGGGTTCACCGTAATGCTGCAGGACGGGTGGGTGACGGTGGAGGGCAGGGCGGAGCGGCCATCACGACGTGGGAGCGTTCTGATTCTGGTAAATGGACGCCTTGTCTTTCAGAAGGTCCAGACATAAATGGCAGCTCCAGCTCCCTGAATGACGACAGAAAGAGTTAACGACTCGTTTCAAGAAAGTGTTGGACATTATTTTTGCCTTATTATTATTATTATTTTGCCGCCCCAGTCTTAGTGTATAGCTTTAATGTTTGTCTTTTTCTGATGATGAAACAAAATCACCACAGGATTGCATTTGGGCCAAAGGTTTACAATTTGCATATAACACCTGTAGTCCTCCACCATTTTTCTTTCTTTGCTTTATTTACCCAGCTAAAACCGGGATCCAAATCTCATTTGCAAGACGGATCTGGGCAGAAATCTGTGCAGCCAAATCCCATTTAAAATATAATTTTTTGAAATTCGTGTTTTCTCAATATTGTCAAGGATTACTGACTGTAAGAGACCACCAGGTGGCGCTAATTTGTGCATATATGTTGTGAAAAACAAAGGTGTGACATCCTAAAATCAATACCACACATATAAGTTAAAATACATTGTATTTTTTTTATAATTTAAAAAAAAATTAATAATTAAAAAAATTCGACAAACAAAACAATATAAATTGTTTTGCATGTATAGGATGGAAAGGTTTTCAGGCATTTTGAAGTCGAGATTTAAACAAAAAGTGGCATTTAAGGAGTTAATTTCAGAAACATTGAATATTTGCTTTGCATGATGAGGATGAAAGCTGATAATAGTATCCATTTTGAAATATGTAATCATGGAATAAATATGTCTATGACTATTTATTGGAACGTTATTTTGTGTTGTAGGACAAAAAGTGCAACATTTATAATAAAATCTGCTGCCAAATAAAACAACAGTTTGCAGTCTCTAGAGAAGGTTTACGAGGATATTTATGGGAATTTTTGACCATACTAAAATGTTTTTCTATGCTGGAGCACTAAGAGTTCCTTTTACTGGCTGAGGCCGACTCCTGGGCTCGACCAAAACCAGGCAGTGCATCAGGAGTTGTTTCTGCAAAAAATCTGCTTTAATAACTCATTTCTTCCCAACTTTTAGCAACAAAATGCATTTTGCAAAAACTTTTAACTGTTTATAAATCACATTCTGTTGAAAAAGATTTTTAAAAAATGTCTATAAGTTATATAGAATTAATAGGGTGTTTTGGATAAATGGTTTCTGTTTTTATCAACGTATCAGCTTTTATCAACGCCCGACTGTTTATACGAAAAAGCTGATCTGATATAGACTCTCCCATTAATTCTGAATTAAGCTTGATTTGTGCACACAGTTTTTGATAAAAGAGGTCCATTGTCTAAAACAATGTCTCATTGATGAAGTTACCTTCTGGAGGTTCAGACATCGGCGGGTTGAGACAGTACATGTGATAGCCTCGATCGCAGTCATCACAGAAGAGAAGCTGATCCTTGAAGAAACACAATCAGAACTCATGAACTTTCTTAGAGAACTTCTTTGGCCCTTAAATTCAAGTCTGTAAAGGACAAATCCAGCTTAAATACCAAACATTATGATTAATATTTCTCTGAAAACTGAGTCAGACTGCTGGATCCCATTCATTCACACCAATTCTTGCACATAAACTCGACATAAACCTGTATTTGTGCATGTAAACAATTCTAAATGACGCAAACATCAGCAGAAAATATGTTGTATGATTCTTTAAAAATATTATAATTACTTTGGCTGCAAGTATAGCCAAGTACAGGGCCTGATACAGGAGGAAGGTGCCCCACCTGTTCAGGTCTCTTTTACAACAAAGTTAAGTAAAAACTTTTAGACTTTGTCCACAAAATTTTTTTATTACACCCTTTTCTAAAAGGTTCCTAATCAAAGCTGCATAAAAAAAAACTAAAGATGTAGACTACAAAGAATTAATAATGGCCAAAATAATAAACTAAGCAGTTCTGGGGCCTCCAAAGCCTAGGCTGCTGCCCGGTTAAACTAATTCACTTAAAACTGGGCAGTTCTGCAGAGCAATTCCTGCTTTTCAGAGTTCAGCTCCATGCTAACATTAGAGACTCACATCATTTTCAGAGGTACCACACATGTTGCAGCATTTGCACTCTATGCACTGCCAGCGATACGTCTTCACAGCAGCCATCATTACAGGAGTAAACTGCAGGCAGGAGGGGTGGCCTGTGTTCACACGGAGAAATAGAAACATTCTCACAGATTAGCGAACCGGTCGGTGTGTGCAGCCTAAATGCCTCTTTCAAAAACCTCAAGGACGTACCGGAGCGTCCACAGTCCGAGCAGGACACCAGCTCCTCTGATTGGCCTGTCTTGTGATTGGTTTTGGAGTCTCCCAAGCAGAAATCGCAGTAATTGTTAGGCAACGCAAGACCGTCTGGGCCTTTTTTGGGAGCTGCTTAAGGGAATTTAAAAAATAGTTATTAGTTACCAGTGATGCCTGTATTGTTGCACAGAAAGTCTCTGGTGCTCGTTTCTTACTTTTTGGCTCCTCGGGCAGCGGGAGGGTCGGCTCGTTCATCTCCAGGTCGTCCTTCTCCTCGCCCTCCTCCTCGGCCAGGTGGGAGTGGGCGTAGTGGTAGCTCAGGCCTGGACGGTTCTTGTAGCGCTTCCCACAGACTGACACCAAAATAAGAAAACATATTTTCAAAAAGAAGAAGAAAAAGCACAAAAAACACAGTGAAAGGAGAGGATCTGACCAAAGCGATTTATTTTTGTTGTGCCACTGAAATAAAAGACCTGCTGTATTTCTGAAGAATAAAGTGCTTTCTACATGTTAGGACTGCGGTGGTTTGAGAGACGCCTCTGTTAGACGGTTCATGTGGGGAGAAGTGATGACGTGTGAGACAAACAGGAAATCACTTTTAACCCACAAAGTTTCAATGTTTTTTGTTTATAATGATTAAAGTAGGAACAGCATTACAAGCTGAAGTAGAAAAGGGGAAATACAGATGACATGTTCTGCTAAATAAAAAAAAATGTTGCTTTGTAAAGTATTCATACCATCTAGTTTCTACAAAAAAAAAAAAAAAAAAAAAAAAATCTAAAAATGGCGCCAAGACTTTGTTTCCTGAACCAAAATTTGGTTGAA